AATTGGAGCGTCGGGGTAGACTTCGAGTGGTGTTCTCCTCAATCAGCACAATCCTCGAGTTCAGCATGGTGACAAACATGACGTCACAATGGCTTAGAGAAGGGGGTTTAAATTCGACACCTAACTTAATATTTTCTAAGGCATATAACAGTTTTAATTCCACCTCTCCATACAGTAACATCTTTCCCTTCTTAGCCCAGGCTCGTTGACTTGGTTGACACATGTCATTGTATCCCAATTGCGTAGATCATTGCTCATGATGTTGATCACTGGATTGTCTGGTCCAGACTCGATTATTTACAGACCGCCACCATATAGATTGAATATTGCTGAGTGCGGCGTTAAACAAAAAACCAAACCAACCAACCCTCCTTCGTATTTAGAAGCACATTTTAACCGATGTTTCAATGAAGTTTAATATAAGTATCACCTGTAATGATATACAGAGGTCACCTGTAAACATCCAGGATAGAATTGGTCTTTAGCAGATCATGTTTGTCCCAAGAAGCGACTAAAGGGATCGGATAGTAAGACTAACTGACCAGGCTGACACATGTCATTGCATCCCAATTGCATAGATCGAATCTCATTATTTCAGTCACTGAATTGTCTGGTCCAGACCCGATTATTTACAGACCGCCGTCATATAGCTCGAATATGCTGAGTGCGGCAAACAAAAAATATACAGGCCCCACGTCTTCAATGAACCCCAGCCAAACGGTATATGCTCCAAGATATTCCGTTGTGCACATGCTGTGCTTCTGTAGCGCTAAACACGAGCTCGGCCATCAGTCAGAAATAAACGGAATCGACTTTTTTCTTTCTTTTCTTGCTTTCTTTCTTTTTTTCTGATTATAGGATATGTATATAGCGCACATATCCACATAAATGGTACAATATTCCCTTGATCAACGGATGTCTATTTTCTGGCATTCTTTTGTGACCAACTCATCTCCCTGGGAAGTATTAAACTCATGCAACCAGTTAGGCGCAGCGAGTTCACACAGCCTCATCCTCACAAGGTATCCTTTTGCATCTGGGTGAGCTGGGACACATAGTCAAGGTATTTTGTCCATTGATACTGCACGTTACTATACCCGTAACGGCAAACCGACCAACCAGTAGCATGAGGAGTATACAAACGTGGGAACAATTTCATATAGCTGGAATATTGTTGAGTGAGGCCTTAAACGGCAAACCGACCAACCAGTAGCTTTGGGTAACTTGTCATCAAGAACACCAGTGTTGGAAGGCCAAGATGTTCCCGCAAAGGTATTATTGGAACATTGGTAAAACATTGGTAAAACATCTCACTGTCAAGTCACTCACTCACCCATTTAAACAGAGTGTCCTCTATCACACAATGTCCTCTATAACCTGGATGATAAATAGCTGCTAGGCTCCGTACGTTTAGCAATCATTGCCGTAAATATTCCACTGGGATTTCGTGGGAGAATGTACTCTGAGGTACAAAAGAAAGTAAACATATGGTGTTTTGGGATGATTACAAAAACAACAGCAACAAACAAACAACACAACAAACCCAAATAACGCAAATAGCCCTGATAGCTCACTTCAATTCTTCTCAGAAAAGAAATCGTTCATGAGTACCTGATGTATTTTTACAGGTGTTAACTGTGGAAGACGTCATAGTTTATATAGTGAGACAATAACAGAAACAATATCCGGTAAATACATACCAGACAATGACCAAACACTGCTATCTTTGACTATACGTGTCCGCATAATTCTCACGTCCGTTATAAATATAACATGAATGAATTTTGTTTTGAAGAACCGTAAAGACGATGGTTTTGAACTTCAGATTTGTCTATTGGTAAAATCTCATTTATTAAAATGTGTTTCAAACGAATTAACTTTCTCCATGACCTAAAACGTCAAATACAGACCGGTAAAAAAAACTATAATTTTGTTGTGATATATTAAATATGATTGTACATCCATTCATAATTTCACAATTTCAAAATTTGAATATTTATTTCAACAGAATGGTTCTGAAATTGGCAATTTTACTTTTTATGTAGTCAATACAATTAATGAACTATTAGAATTGAATTAAATATTTAGAATGGTCAGTGAGTCCCTTCCTCAGTATGAACTGCAGTAACAATAGCGTTAAGTCATCAGCAACCCGAGAAGGTCCGGGTTAGAATGAATCTTCAGTAACCCATGCTTGTCTCAACCCGTGAAGGTCCGGGTTAGAATGAATCTTCAGTAACCCATGCTTGTCTCAACCCGTGAAGGTCCGGGTTAGAATGAACCTTCAGTAACCCATGCTTGTCTCAACCCGTGAAGGTCCGGGTTAGAATGAACCTTCAGTAACCCATGCTTGTCTCAACCCGTGAAGGTCCGGGTTAGAATGAACCTTCAGTAACCCATGCTTGTCTCAACCCGTGAAGGTCCGGGTTAGAATGAACCTTCAGTAACCCATGCTTGTCTCAACCCGTGAAGGTCCATGCTTGTCTCAACCCGTGAAGGTCCGGGTTAGAATGAACCTTCAGCAACCCATGCTTGTCTCAACCCGTGAAGGTCCGGGTTAGAATGAACCTTCAGTAACCCATGCTTGTCGTAAGAGGCGGCTATCGGGATTGGGTGGTCAGACTCGCTGACTTGGTTGACACATGTCATCGGTTCCCAATTACGCAGATCGATGCTCATGCTGTTGTTCACTGGATTATCTGGTCCAGACTCGATTATTTACAGACCGCCGCCGTATAGCTGGAATATTGCTGAGTGCGGCGTAAAACTAAACTCACTCACTCACTCACGTCATCATAATGATTTAAAGAAGTATTCCTTGTTGATGGTAAGGTTAGGGCACGATGTGCTTGTAGAGTGAGTGAGTGAGTGAGTTTGGTTTTACGCCGCTTTTATCAATATTGCAGCAATATCACGGCGGGGGACACCAGAAATGAGCTTCACACATTGTACCCATGTGGGGAATCGAACCCGGGTCTTCGGCGTGACGAGCGAACGCTTTAACCACCAGGCTACCCCATCGCCCCTATGTGCTTGTAGAGTCCACAGGCCCTCGTGTCTTTCCGAGGATTAAAGATTTTGAAAAAATATATATAATTTGAGATGACCCCCGACTCGAAATGCCTCACAGTACAATACATTATATATGTATTGTACTGTGAAGCATTTCGAGTCAGGGGTCATCTCACAAAATTATTTTTCTTAATCTTTAATCTTCGCAAAGACTCGAGAGCCTGTGGTAGAGTCGGTGGTAGCCCCAAGGTGACTAGGCTGACAGAATCCTGCCTTCAGTTGCAGGTTCATCTGTCCGGATCCGAATATTTTTATCACCAATTAGAAGAAGTGAATGAGTGTGGTTTTACGGCGCTTTTAACACTATTCCAGCAATAGGGGACACCAGACATGGGCATCACACATTGTACCCATGCGGTGAATCGAACCTAGGTCTTCGACGAGCGAATGCTTTAACCACTACATCGTAGCTGATATCTATCCCCAAACCCGACCCCACCCACTGTCTGCGACACCCGTCCTGGTTTTGCTTTTGAGACGACCCCTCCTATCTGTTTGTTTTTGTAATGAGACTCCATGGCAGCTAATCCTTAATAGTTTCAAAATTAAAAATATTATTTTTTAAAACAGCTATAGTTTATAATGCAGCTAAGTCTCATTTCACAATGGACATTTCAAAAGTGTCCTTTATAATACAATATCATCGCACACTAATTTGCATAAAGCCATGGTCTGTTCCAAATATGTCGCATTGCTCATTTCTGCACTAATCTCTCCTCAGTAAAGTCCTTTTTCACGTTTCCTATCTCCCTACCACTGAGACTGTAGTTTTGCCGAACTTAGTTTAACATATATTTCACACTTTCACATATTAACTACATAAACTGTAGATATAAATGTGAAAACAACAACATATTTTTCTTTTTCCGACAGTACTTTAATGTAATGTTATTTGAACTTTACATTTTGTTTCCGGTCAATTTCCAGAGAAACCCATGTTTAGTAGAAGTTATTGCATACTTAGTCTGACTGACTATTCGTGATATAGGTGAATTATTCATAGCTTTACACAGGTGTGAATGACGTTGTTCGTGTTGTTGTTGTGTTTGTTGTTTTACTGAACTGACCTTTTCAAAGTAAACAGGAAGACCGTAGAGGGATGACACGTAGGCAGCTGAATGGAGAAAGAGAGAAGGATATTGAGAGAGAGAGAGAGAGAGAGAGAGAGAGAGAGAGAGAGAGAGAGAGAGAGAGAGAGAGAGAGAGAGAGAGAGGAGGGAGGGTCGGGACCGTTCCGCGTGTGTGTATGGTGTGTGTTGTGGATGTCGGGGGCAGAGGGGGAAACTCAACATACTGATAATAGAATCAAAGATTATGCAGTTCTGATTGTCCAATTCTTAGCTATCGTTATCTTCAATGTTCACAAAGCTGTGTCAATACTTTCTACACCCTGTTTCCCACGATACCTTCTCGGGCAGTTTTTGTCCTAAAAAGCGCGTTTCCCATGCCTCTTTGTTCCCACGGAGAGACAGGCTACTCAATGCACATTTACATTCATCATTATCCAATGCCTTTCATCACCCCGATAGGGTTGTCACGCGCCCTCTCGGCTGGCAGTCCCGTTAGTGAAACTTTGAATGTTTTAAATGAAACTTATAATGAAGATCGCCGCGAGACGGAGCACCTTCCTTCACTTCAAACGGGTGGATGTTTTTCCCCGTATACACATCAAGTTCGTGATAGGCTTCCAGAGCCAATCTCTACTCGTCTTTTGTTTCTCCGTCATCACTGGCTCCGTCGTGTGACGTCACAGCTCGTGCCCCGTACATTGAGCGTGCTTACTCAAGTGCGAGCTAGAGTCGCGTGGCGGCCTCGCGCAACTTGACAGTTAAATAACTGATAAGGCGGTAGGCGTGGCTACCGTAACTCTCGCGCCAGGCTATATAAGAGAAGCAAGTCGCGCGAGAACAAACAATCTTACTAAACAACACTCCGTGCGTTTGGATCTAGAACCATGATGGAAAGTACCGTTCACCCCGTGACAAGTCTGGGAGGACAAACAGTTCTGTCTTCACCCCTCGCAGACAGACCGTCGTGCATGTTCTCAATGGCCACGATGTCCACTTCGCCCCACCCATCACCCCTCACCCCCGGGAACAAGTCTCTGAGGATGTCTATGAAGGAGAACGCTAGGGAGGTGTCCCAGTGTCGCCGACGTCTCGACTTCTCCCCCCATCAGACCTACCTCGGCTTCCATCGTCCCCCCACAGTCGCCGTGGCACGGAGGAACGAGAGAGAGCGAAACAGAGTCAAATTGATCAACATGACTTTTGCAACTCTCCGCGAGCACCTACCTCACGGCTCGAAAGGGACCAAGTCCAAGAAGATGAGCAAAGTTGAAACTCTGAGATCCGCTATAGAATACATCCGTCATCTTCAGGGTATGATTGGGGACCCCGAAGCCATGAGGGCTGTTCTTGAAGGCAGTCGGGCAATGATTGAGGGGGCATGTTCCATGTCCCCCGAGTCATGCCTCTCCCCTACCCCATCAACAAGTTCTCCGTCACCCTCACCCTGCTCCACAGATTCCTCGTACGAGACGCTCACTATCGATGAGGATGATCTGATCGACTTCGCCAACTGGTTCTGAACCTATCCAGGTACGTCGTTATTGTCATCGTCTCATAAGTCATGCACTCACTGTAAAGTTTTACTCGTCACTTTGGCTGAAATACTGCCAGCGCGACATGATTGTATTCATATTTAAATATTTAAAGGTTTTTATGGTTTTATCCTGAATACATGGGAGTGTTATTTAATAGATATAATGTTTGTGGAAATGATTTTCCTGAAAGTATAGCATGGGAGTCGTGTGTATAGTAAATTCTCTCTCTCTCTCTCTCTCTCTCTCTCTCTCTCTCTCTCTCTCTCTCTCTCTCTCTCTCTCTCTCTCTCTCCTGTCACAGTCGAAAAATCATTTCTCCCTCTGTAATTTCTGAAAATTTCTCTCTTTTCTCTCTCTCTCACACACTCACTCACTCTATCTCTCTATATATCTCTCTCTATCTATAGAATTATAGAATAGATTATGTCACTAGTATTTTTTATTTGAAAAATTCTGCAAACTGTCACAGACGAAATATTCATTTCTGACTCTCTGTAATTTATGATAGTTACAGGCCACACTCAGATGACTAGGTTATGAAAGTGAGAATTTTCACACTGAAAAATATATTCACACAATCTAGTGTAACACGTCAGGAAGGAAAAGTAGCGCCTTGGACATTTTCAGACCATCTAATTAAACAATCATTATATTTTTCAAGGCTGTAACATTAGAACCAAACAAAATGAATAAACTCAAAGATTTCAGTCGAATAATTTAATCACTATTTCATTAAAACTCTGGTATGCAATCAACAGGTCGCCCTGTCACCCGTCAAGACAGTCATTAATCAGTATGGCGACGGGGCTTTGAGCTTCAGATATGCATGGGATAATTACAATTTGACATTCATAACCGTGATGTTCTCACTTGCTCGGTGTGTTCGCCACTGCAGCTTTGTGCCGTAATCGTAAATATCGTGTCAAAAACGTTCAACTAATCTCAAATCTTTTCTTCAGGTGGACCTATCACGTGATCTCACTAGGACTTCTCATTGGCTACCCAAGTGTCAGACCGCTCCCCTCCAGGCACACAAAGAAGGGGGTACGTGGAGGGGTACGGAACGTAACCTTTGCAACAAGATATTGGCGTCATGGAGACTAAACAAAGAGTTAGGAAGATGAAGACGCTGATTCCCCACCCCATCCCCCACCCCCACCCCAAACAGTGCTCAAGTCAGTATTACATATCTTTATACACGTGGTGCTAGAACGGACCACCGATCTCAGATGACAAACGATGGAGAAGTCAAACTTTTATTTATTGTATCAAATGTGCGCGTGAATGTGTTACTTTGCCGTGTTTGTTGAAGAGTTCGTATCTTTAACGAGCCAATTTGAACTGGTACGACCAACTGCCTTTACGCGGCTGCTCTCTGTTTACCAGTGTTAGCTGTTCAAACAATTTTATTCCAGTTATCAAATATTTTACTATGATTATTCTTATCCGGGAGAGGAAGGAACGGCTATCTGCGTGTGAATGTGCCCGGCCGTAAACTCCGGGAAGACGTCCTGTCCTTGTGTGGAGTTTGCCCGTCGCAGATATCCGGATCGAGTTAGGATTATCAGATTTCTCATTTACTACTTGAAAAGTGGAGAGTTTTCTATTTTTACATTGTATGTACATACTCATTGTTAATTTATGAATATATTGTATCAAATTGAGATTTATTATATTTTTGTCGATGAAATAAAGATATGTTTCAAAGTATTAGAATCGCATTCGTTTGTTTTTCAGAGTTGAGTTGTACATACGAATATGATATGTAAAGTATTTTGTACTCCTATAGGGTATACTGAAATGTACTGATTCAATAGGTATTGGGTTAGTTCAGGGTTTCTGACGGCTAAGACCCAGGTTCGATTCCCTCAGGAATGCAATGTGTGAAGTCCAATTTTGGCATCCTTCGCCGCGTACTGATTAGTGGGTGTCAATAGTGAATATCGCACTGTCGAGGCCGAACCTTTAGTGTTGGCACATACACCTCTGTGCCACACTTCCAACCGTCGCTTGGCATCAATAAAGACGGTCCTGATCAACAGAAATACAAATCTTGAAAATACTCCCCAGGTTTCTGGAACAAGGCTTATCGAATTGTAACAAACACTGTTCACAAAGCACCCAGCTACACGCCTCCGCCAGCTATGTTTCAAGTATACCCAGTAAATACTCGCAACCCGGTGATCGATGTTGTGAACAGCTTTATCTGCACCATGGGGGTCGAGCTTAGGCAGTCAACCTGATCACTGAGCCTGATCACCCGATCCACTCATCTAACAACAAGCAAATGTTGGTTGGGAACAAAGAAACTGTACAGAATGTACAAATCATGTACGTACAGAGATCCGAGAATAACGTGGCTGTATGTAAAAGATGACGCACTGAACAAACACCGGGCGTATAAAAATCCTGTATAGTGTCCGCACGGAAACCATATGATGTATGTACACATACCAAATAGTGTATGTAGACAGACCGTATAGTGTATGTAGACAGACCATATAGTGTATGTACACAGACCGTATAGTGTACGCAAACAGACCATATCGTGTATGTACACAGACAACATAGTGTATGTGCACGTTCCAAATAGTGTACGCAAACAGACCATATAGTGTATGTACACATACCATATAGTGTATGTACACAGACCATATAGTGTATGTGCACGTACCAAATAGTGTACGCAAACGGACCATATAGTGTATGTACACATACCATATAGTGTATGTACACAGACCATATAGTGTATGTACACAGACCATATAGTGTATGTACACAGACCATATAGTGTATGTACACAGACCATATAGTGTATGTACACAGACCATATAGTGTATGTACACAGACCATATAGTGTATGTACACAGACCATATAGTGTATGTACACAGACCATATAGTGTATGTACACAGACCATATAGAGTATGTACACAGACCATATAGTGTATGTACACAGACCATATAGTGTATGTACACAGATCATATAGTGCATGTACACAGACCATATCGTGTATGTACACAGACCATATCGTGTATGTACACAGACCATATAGTGTATGTACACAGACCATATCGTGTTTGTACACAGACCATATAGTGTTTGTACACAGACCATATAGTGTATGTACACAGACCATATAGTGTATGTACACAGACCATATAGTGTATGTACACAGACCATATAGTGTATGTACACAGACCATATAGTGTATGTACACAGACCATATAGTGTATGTACACAGACCATATAGTGTATGTACAGACCATATAGTGTATGTACACAGACCATATAGTGTATGTACACAGACCATATAGTGTATGTACACAGACCATATAGTGTATGTACACAGACCATATAGTGTATGTACACAGACCATATAGTGTATGTACACAGACCATATAGTGTATGTACACAGACCATATAGTGTATGTACACAGACCATATAGTGTATGTACACAGACCATATAGTGTATGTACACAGACCATATAGTGTATGTACACAGACCATATAGTGTATGTACACAGACCATATAGTGTATGTACACAGACCATATAGTGTATGCACACAGACCATATAGTGTATGTACACAGACCATATAGTGTGTGTACACAGACCATATAGTGTATGTACACAGACCATATAGTGTATGTACACAGACCATATAGTGTATGTACACCATATAGTGACCATATAGTGTATGTACACAGACCATATAGTGTATGTACACAGACCATATAGTGTATGTACACAGACCATATAGTGTATGTACACAGACCATATAGTGTATGTACACAGACCATATAGTGTATGTACACAGACCATATAGTGTATGTACACAGACCATATAGTGTATGTACACAGACCATATAGTGTATGTACACAGACATATAGTGTATGTACACATATAGTGTATGTACACACAGACCATATAGTGTATGTACACAGACCATATAGTGTATGTACACAGACCATATAGTGTATGTACACAGACCATACCATGTAGTGTATGTACACAGACCATATAGTGTATGTACACAGACCATATAGTGTATGTACACAGACCATATAGTGTATGTACACAGACCATATAGTGTATGTACACAGACCATATAGTGTATGTACACAGACCATATAGTGTATGTACACAGACCGTATAGTATGTGTATGTACACAGACCATATAGTGTATGTACACAGACCATATAGTGTATGTACCATATAGTGTATGTACACAGACACAGACCATATAGTGTATGTACACAGACCATATAGTGTATGTACACAGACCATATAGTGTATGTATAGTGTATGTACACAGACCATATAGTGTATACAGACCATATAGTGTATGACCATATAGTGTATGTACACAGACCATATAGTGTACACAGACCATATAGTGTATGTACACACCAGTACACAGACCATATAGTGTATGTACACAGACCATATAGTGTATGTACACAGACCATATAGTGTATGTACACAGACCATATAGTGTATGTACACAGACCATATAGTGTATAGTGTATACACAGACCATATAGTATGTACACAGACCATATAGTGTATGTACACAGACCATATAGTGTATGTACACAGACCATATATAGTATGTACACAGACCATATAGTGTATGTACACAGTACACCATATAGTGTATGTACACAGACCAGACCATATAGTGTATGTACACAGACCATATATAGTGTATGTACACAGACCATATAGTGTATGTACACAGACCATATAGTGTATGTACACAGACCATATAGTGTATGTACACAGACCATATAGTGTATGTACACAGACCATATAGTGTATGTACACAGATAGTACACAGACCATATAGTGTATGTACACAGACCATATAGTGTATGTACACAGACCATATAGTGTATGTACACAGACCATATAGTGTATGTACACAGACCATATAGTGTATGTACACAGACCATATAGTGTATGTACACAGACCATATAGTGTATGTACACAGACCATATAGTGTATGTACACAGACCATAGTGTAGTGTATGTACACAGACCATATAGTGTATGTACACAGACCATATAGTGTATGTACACAGACCATATAGTGTATACACAGACCATATAGTGTATGTACACAGACCATATAGTGTATGTACACAGACCATATAGTATGTACACAGACCATATAGTGTATGTACACAGACCATATAGTGTATGTACAGACCATATAGTGTATGTACACAGACCATATAGTGTATGTACACAGACCATATAGTGTATGTACACAGACCATATAGTGTATGTACACAGACCATATAGTGTATGTACACAGACCATATAGTGTATGTACACAGACCATATAGTGTATGTACCATATAGTGTATGTACACAGACACAGACCATATAGTGTATGTACACAGACCATATAGTGTATGTACACACACAGACCAGATATAGTGTATGTACACAGATAGTGTATATATATGTGTATGACCATATAGTGTATGTACACAGACCATATAGTGTATGTACACAGACCATATAGTGTATGTACACAGACCATATATAGTGTATGTACACAGACCATATAGTGTATGTACACAGACCATATAGTGTATGTACACAGACCATATAGTGTATGTACACAGACCATATAGTGTATGTATGTACACAGACCATATAGTGTATGTACACAGACCATATAGTGTATGTGTACACAGACACATATATAGTGTATGTACACAGACCATATAGTGTATGTACACAGACCATATAGTGTATGTACACAGACCATATAGTGTATGTACACAGACCATATAGTGTATGTACACAGACCATATAGTGTATGTACACAGACCATATAGTGTATGTACACAGACCATATAGTGTATGTACACATAGTGTATATACAGTGTATGTACACAGACCATATAGTGTATGTACACAGACCATATAGTGTATGTACACAGACCATATAGTGTATGTACACAGACCATATAGTGTATGTACACAGACCATATAGTGTATGTACACAGACCATATAGTGTATGTACACAGAATACACTCCTCCAAGAAAATGAAACACAGGCAAAATGCGATTTTAAAGGAAATATCATGAAAAGGAATTTCAAAGGTGAATGCATGTCGGTCATGTGATGTGACAATAGTCTAAAAGCTGACGTCAGTCGTTTGTCGACTTATCGGAAGGAGGCGACTGAATGATGCCAGTCGTCGGCGTTGGATGTCTTGAATCCGAAGATCCCCAGATTGCATGTCATTTTAGCATTCAACATACATGGATTATGTGATCGGTTTACCAGTCTCCTGCCAACCAAGTGTAGCCCATTTTTGTGTCCCCTCCGTGATATTGCGGGAATATTGCTATAAGCGGCGCAAAACCATACTCACTCAATCAGGCCAACCCGAGAAGAGATAGACCAAGAGTCACGACTCATGCACGAGATCGCGAAATCCTGGTCTTTCGTTTTCGTTAGCAACATAATTATGCTGCTGAAATCGTGATTCATCTCCTAACCAGACTTGTAAGGTGTTGCACGGTGTTGTGCGGTGTACGTTTTTGTTGATACAAACATGTCAATATAGGGTCAAATGCCTGTCTTCTGAGCTTTATTCCCACCTCTTGAAAACGATTCCTTTTTGTATAGGTCCGATCTTGAACACCATGCAGCACCATGCAGTATCGTGGAAAACTATA